CAGGAAGCCCGCCTGATCTATCCGGCCCGGCGCTTTGAAGAGCGACGCGACGCGATGCGATGCGCGCAGATAACCAACCCGCCGGTGGACGTGTAGTGGCCACGGCGCAGCCGGCACAAGATGCGGAACGGCGCGCGGAGGCGACGGCCGCCGCGAGAGCGCGGGCAAAGGAACAAATCAACGATTATGCGCCTTTGAAAGAGAAATGACATACTTCAAAACGTCTCTTTCTATCTCTCTTTCTATTTCTCTTTCTATCTCTCTTTCTATCTCTCTTTCTCTTTCTCTTTCTATCTCTCTTTCTCTTTCTCTTTCTATCTCTCTTTCCCTCTTTATACTTACAAAAATTGCTAATGTTCCCTAGTTAGTGAGCAATTCCAAATTATATGAAAATCTAGGAATCCAAACAATAAAGTACACAACATCTAAATACTCTTACATCTATCTTGTCCAATATTTCGTCAATTTACCACCCTACACAAAAATGTGTAAATAAGATCCATAAATAAACGCATCAACAAGAAATTCCCATACGAAGTAGTTATATAACAGCAATACGTACGTAAAACCGACACTTCCTGTAATAAATAAGTAAGAAATTAAAAGGAGAAACAGAAGGTCGGCGTTTCGGAACTGCGTTTTTCTTTTGTGCGAATAGGAACGTGATCATGATGTCTCAAAAATTATTTTTTAATAAGTTGATCTTTTGTTTTTGAAGAATACCTTGGGAAAACCATTGGGAAATTGTAGCTCTGATAATTTGCCCCCATTCATTAAAATCTACTCTCGATTTAGTGAATCTGGAAAACTGACCACATTTTCAGAATGTACAAAAAATAAATTTTCTTAATTTAATTTGATTCCTGATGCTCCCGAATTTAAAGATGACTCATCTCAAAAGTTGTAATATTGAAGGCGAATGAATCATGAATGAGGCCATTTTCTTCTCTGCCAAAGTCACTGCTTTACTCTATACGTATACCGGCTGTGATGTGAACTATCTTGAAGGGATTTTTACTAGTGAAAGTGTACTAATTTCTAATCTATTGTTCACATAACTAAAAATTACTATATCTTAGATGTTGCAGATTTCTTGCGAAGAATAAACGTGTTAAGTTTGTATGTTACGAAATACCATTATGAATTATTTAGTAGCAAAATTATTTTTCTCTAATTCTTCACTGAATTAAAAAACACGATTTTGAAGCATGCTATTTCTCTTATTCTCCTACTGTGCGAGTTAAATTGCATGATTGTTTTCATCGTGAATTACCTTTTATAAATTCTTTACTAGGAAAAGTGGATTTTTTGTCAACAAATTCTTCACTGACTAAAAGTACGGTTTTTTTAAGCATGACATTTCTCGTTTTTTCCAACTGGACGAGTTAAATTGCAAAATAGTTTTTATTTTGTGAATTCTTTTCTAGCAAAAGTAGATTTTTTCTAGACATTTTCACTGAATTCAAGAATGTCGTTTTTTGAAGTGTGTCATTTCTCTTGTCATAAGCGTTGATTAGTTCCTTTGCCCGCGCTCTCGCGGCGGCCGTCGCCTCCGCCGCGCCGTTCCGCCATCTTGTGCCGGCTGGCGCGCGGCCACTACACGTCCACCGGCGGGGTTGGGTTATCTGCGCGCATCGCATCGCGTCGCGTCGCTCTTCAAAGCGCCGGGCCGCGATAATCAGGCGGGCTTCCCTGCGCCCGTTGTCTTCTCTTTGGAGACCTCGGCATTTCTGCCCCCCGCCCCTCCCCCCCCCCTAGAATCCGCGAACGAACGGCGAACGCCACATGCCGACCTTTCCACCTCGTCACGCCCCCGCGCAGCGCTTGTTGGAAATTAAATGGTCGGCGTTGGAAGCGTATTTACGACGATCAAGAAGTTGAAATTATCCGCTGCAAACTAAACATTGTCAAGAGGTAAATGAGTATAATTATTCAGTGCCTCTGGAAATTTATTGGAGTCAAAGAAATATTTCATGTGTTCTGAATTAAAGAGCAACATCGTATTTTTAACTAGACTGTTTATATCAGTAGACTACTTCAAGAATATTCGGCTATCAAAATCGAAAAGGAATTTTTTTTAAATGTATATTTTGTTCACAAGAAATTCTTTAAAAGTTGTACATGTTAACCAAATGATTCATTGAAACTCAAGCCAAAATTCTCACTAGATTCGTGCAACACATCCGTAAGATTACTCGTGACTCACGATTCGTACAATTGTTATAAGATCTCAACACCTAAGGTCCAGTTGAAACATAAAGTAATAATCTCGCGCACATGTCGCAGTGACTAGTGGCTGTAAGAGAAAATCTGTGAGAAAGAGACCAGCACTAAGGAACATTCTGGAGAATTTAATGTATTGTGAACCCCGCGCGCTCAAGCGATTACGAGACAAAGTTTCCGAGTAGATGCTCGAAGTATGAGTCTGAACCATATTAAATCGCAGAACAGGAACAAAAAAGATAGAAACAGAAAAATAAATTGTTGGTGATATGTTTTTAGATATATTTTTCTTCTCGTAATGAAATACTTAAAATAAATTGTATAAATTTGAATTATATACTTTATTTGAAAAAAGTATTTCTAAAAATAAATATAAGTTGCGCGAGTGGGTAGCAAATGTGCAGCTTGCCTGGGAAGGCAAATAATATGGCTCCGGCTATGCTGCGTGTTAACAAAAGAATCTCCGTACACTGGCGATTGCAGGTTTAAAACAAGATCACGGTAGATACTCGCTAAAAGGTAAATTGAGTAAAGCAGCACATTAAATTAAAAAAAAAACTGTACAAGATAAATAAAAATATTCTGGCATATACGCACAGTTTGCAATCAACACAAAATGGTATTGCCAAATTTTTGGAAGGGAACAAGCTTAATTTGAACTCTATCGCCTCGCAAGGTTCTAAGGTTCTTCTAAAAGCTGCAGATCTTCATTTGTGCAATCTGGATGCAAATCTTCTAAAGGTTGGAAAAATATTTATTCTGGTAAATAATGTAATGAACTGGTTTTAAAAACAAACCGATAAATTATTAGGTGAAAACAGTGAAGAAGATAACTACAGCTAGTTTGACGAATGGTTTTACGCGGTGTTAATTCTAAAGTATTGCCTGTCAACTGCACAGTCTATGGCTGAATTCGAATTATTGAAGCACTCAAATCATCAAATAATCTTACGAAATTTCGAAGAATTCACTTTATAGGCAATTTTGAAATTCCTGGTTTGACGAGTTGGGTGATACAGTTCTAAGAGTTGCAATGCAACTTAAATGGGCTTCGATGGTACAACGGGTTGTACCCAAATTTACGAGTCTTTTAAGGCCGAACAAAATCCTTCAGAGGGGAAGTAAATCTGGCTATCCCAAGTTGTAGATTCACTGCATGTAACACCTTTGCAAGCCTAAAAGAGCATGTGAAAATAAATTCAAAATCCCGTATTTCGTCGCCCGAGTGATATCTTCGTTTTCCGCAAGATAGTGAAAGGAAGCGCAGCGAAATTTGCGTGGTCATTGACTTGACTTTAATGGAATAGAGCCTGCGAGTGTTCATCCGAGGCGGAGCGCAGCGTGTTGGGGGGGGCCGTCACCCTCCTACTGTCTCGGTCGCGTCGCGTCGCCTTTCGCGCTCGCCCGCCTCCGCGTGCGCGGCTTCCGCTGCGCCGCAGTCAGCCGGCAAAACCCCGATCGCCTCCTGACGCGCGCCTGCCGCCCCGCTTCGCGCCCGCCCGCAAAAGGCAACAACAGGGCGAGGCCCCGCCGCACAGTGGCCCCAAACGCAGCCGGGACCAGCGGCTGGGAGCTCCTACGGTTCGACGCCAGGCGTTGGCGGGTTTTCCACTCGGGCTAGAGAGCTACACCTTGACAACTAAATTAAAAAAACTGGATTGCGCATGCGCGAAAAGTGGCGGAGGGGAAGGCTACCCTCTCTTTAGAGGCTCCACTTCACCTCCTGAGGAGCCACCGCCACCTCGGCCTGGGTGGGTGCGGAGAAGGCAGCCTGCCTTGATGTACGTGCCGAACCCTAGAGTGTTGAAGCGTGAGAACTAAGTAACAAGAGCAAATCAGTTATCGTTGCAGGCGGTCCTTGAGTTCAATTGATCTCTCCTTCGGGAGCAGTGGGGAATGGCATAGCCACGCCTCCTGAGGTAAGCGACGCCATGATGGTTTCTTCCTACGTGGTCGAGCTGTAGGTGGAAAACAGTCGCCGTCTGGAGGAGAATTCCAGCAACCGGCTGCTCCCATCGGTAGATTTTTGATGTTTCTCTCCTTCAGCACTGGGGCATGCTGGAGAAGTGCCCTAACAAACGAACCGCATGCGACCGTTCCTTTCTCTTCCTTGTCCTATCCTCACGCTTTACTCAGAACGTGCACTTATCCTTACATGCACTACACTACCACACACGTCGGTTGACCAGACGAAACCACAGCGCTTCTCCCGTCTGTGGCGGTGTTTCATTGGAAGAGATACCTAGATGGCGAAACTTCCTTAGGCTGGCGTGTAGGTCAGCGCTAGATATAGCTTCGACCTTCAAACAGGTGAAACACGACCACCCGCCGCTACATTCAGTGCATTCACTGCGTTCAGGGGCCTAATAACCAACGTCGTTGACGCACCCGGAAACATGAAAAAATCAACTCACTCAAGATCTGCACAACCCATTTTTGTCCTTTCATGTCTGAAAACAGCCATTTCTGTACTGGTAATCGTCCTCATAGGCGAAGTTCCTGGGACTAGCAAAATCTTTTCCGGTAAATTGTCTCAATTCTTGTAAGCATCCAACAATCGCTTGCGATCAATGAGCACGCTAACAAGCTGTCAGCTTGGTACAATAAAGAGAAGAAAATAGAGGGAGTGTCGAATCTCTTATGATTTTACGTTTTTCTCTCTGTATCATTTTGTTTTATTCCTCCCTTACTGTATACTATTCCACGTTATGTGCTATATTTACTTCCGTTCACTTTCTCCCGACCTTTTCCTATTAAACATATTTATATATTATTAGGAAGTACGATCTTTCTTTACATTCCGTCAGGACAAAGATGCTGCATAGATTGACTTAGAAATGGTTTTACATCGAAACACATGATCCACAGACTTGCAGTAGTGCAGACACTACGTCAATCATACAAAATGTTTGTTCTAACTATTAATAATTTATCCTGATAATGGAATTTTGAAACGAATCCTAGCACCCGAACTGTTACGTTCTATGGCGAACAGCGAATTGGCGTAATTGGCGCAAACCCAACACTATGTGTAGGTGTATGTTGGGGTGAGGTTCTTAGTGAACTGAAGCAAATATGTCAATTGCGTGTCACTAAATGCAACTATCTTTTAAATTGTGGTTTTTCACAACTATTTTAATTTTCATTATTTTTTAAACATTATGAAAGTCCTGAGAAATGCTTTAGCATAGGTGTACGAGAATTAGTAATTGCTAAATTAATTAAACTGGGTCGGCTTGTTAATGTATGATTAATTTTTCATTCAATCCAAGCTCCTCAACTGCTTAGCTCATTAGTCCCGTATGTGTAGTGAATGTGCTTTACCGCGGGAGGGGGCGATGATCTTCCCCCGCTGAATGGCGATATCCACCTACCTACGCGGCGGCTTGCGGGTTTTCCCCTCCTGGAATCTCTCACCAGGGGGGTATCGCCTCACCCGGAACAACTCCTAAGCTGCAGATAATCTCCTGACATGAGGTGTTGTGGCGCATGTAAATGTAGGTAGGGGGTGAGTGAGGAAGGAACAAGGAAGAGGAAGGAAAGAGCGTGAGCGGTCCGTGGCCCGTTTGTAAGAGTACTACTTCGGCATTCGCCTGATGTTGGTCAGAGAAATCACGGAAAGCTACCGAACAGAGCAGCCGACAGAATTCTCTTCCAGGCATCGGCTGAACTCGACCTAGCTATTCAGCGTATCGAAAATCCTGCCTCCGTCCGAACCCTACAACCTCCCGGTCAGTGACACCAGTTGATGCCCTGAGCCGGCGTGCGTTGTTTCGCCTACTGCACTCTGTCTTCCCCGAAGCCGCCTCCTTCGCGTGGCGGGGTCCGCAGCGCGTGTTGCGGCGCAGTGTGCTGCCAAAGGCGTGGCGCGCCGCCGTCGATGCGCGTCAAGGCGAGTGCCAGCGGAGCGCCCAGCGTTCGTCATCGTCACGGAGGCCGACGGCTGAAAGCCACACCCGGCCTCCACGTACAAATCGGAACGGGCTGTTTGATCTAACAGGAATCCCAGAAATTTCCCTTGCGCGTTCCACTTGAAACGGGAGAAGCTTAGCTCCCGGAGGTCTAGGAAGCAGCGTAGCAGCGGCGAAGGCTCCGGAACAATTTCATTTTATCGTTTGTTTTTAATTATTTATGCAATGATTCTACAAATCATCATTCACACATGAAAGTTTTAACATGAATGGAACTTCAAATTAACTTCTTCCCATAGCACGTCACACACACTTTTGAACTGTTTTGGGAGAAAATAAATAAACTTGAAGATTAATTTTAACATGGACGGAAGTTTTAACATGAATGGTAACCATTTTGTAAACAAAAACTTGGGCCAGAATCATGAGTTTCCTAAAATTGACTGTTACGAAGCCGGGGAATTTTACGAAAGTTGTGAGGTAAGTCAATATTCATTCTGAGGCAAAACCGATGCTGTTTACGTTGTCTTAGTCATGTGATTACGAGCTTTTGAGATTTCTTAATCCCGTCAACTAGGAGAAATCCTATTGCTCGTCCTACGTACGACCGAAGCAGGGTAGGGCAGTGAACGCGAAAGTGTGGCTTCCGCCGACGTACGTTTCGCAACCGCCGCGTGCATTCCTAAAGGCTTCCTCTCGGACACGTTGGCCCCCCCGCGGCAGGTGGGGACAGACAGACGCGTCGCCGCCCGCCCGTCCAGCGCCGTCGCCCAGGCGAGCGCCCGGCGAATCGCGGAATCCGCAAAGCGGCTGCCAGCCGAGGACGGGCGGGCGGGAGGCGCGGGGGCGCAGCGGGCCGATCGAATCTCGCGAGCCCCAATTTTACGCAGCCGGTACCAAAATCGAAGCGGCGCGCAGAGTAGCGCGCGCGAAGCCAACCGGGAGGGCGAGCGAAGCGATCTTCATCGCCGCGGAAGGCGAATGCGGAAAACGCGGCAGAAACGGACGAGGCGGGAGGGGAGGATGGTGCGACGTTTTAAGCCAATGGGAGTGATAGCCAGATGACGAAGAACCGCGGCAGACGTGGCGGGGAGGCGGGCGTCATACAGTCACGGAGAGCGACTGGCGCAGCCGGCAGGAACGTTGCGGGCGGGGCCAGTGTGGAGTGAGCTAGTTTTAAGCGCTTCGGAAGGTGAATGGAGTGAAGAGTACGTGTAGAACGGCCGGGCGGTGTTTGCATAAAGCCTGTGCGGAAGCGATGGCGGAGTATGAGCCAGAAAACGCAGCGCGGCAGAGCCGGCGACGGGTTTGAAGCGCCGCCGGAAGCAATGGCGCGAGAACGGGTAGGGGTGGAGATGAATGAAGCTCGTGATGGGCGGGTGAGGTGGGGTTGACCGGAGCGGAGCAAACCGCTAAAGCAAATGAATAAATGAAACTCGTGTTGATTGAAGTGTAGTAATAATTCAAAATAGTCTACCTGTTAGCTACCATTTGTTGGGCTAAGTTAGCCTAGCAAAACAATCACCATTTTAACCATATCACCAATTCACCAATTGCGACCAATAGTTCTAGTTCATTCGCGCCTTTCCAAGTCGACGGCAAGGTATCGGTTTTCGGAATGAACATAAACAACTTTGAGCCCAGCCAATGGAAAAAAATTCCAACGCATTTTATACCAAAAGGCAGATTCGACTGTACTCGACTCACTTCACTCGCGTAGCCCTTAAAGTATTTCTACTTCATTATACATGCGCATTCCACCCGTGTCCTATTTATTCACGTGCGTTAGCTGTTTATCAAAGAATACCCACAGTGCCGCAGAGCGAAGCGTGCTAGACGGAGCGGAAGAGGGCCAGGGCGCGGAGGAGCCGGATGGCGCGTGGCGGGGTGGAGCGGCGCGGAGCGGCGTGGAGGCGCGAGGAGTAGTGGAGCGACGCTGGAGGAGCGCACAGGGGGAGGGGCGGAGTGGATCGTGTGTGGTAGAAGATGGAGTATATGGTTTAGATTTATTTAGTCAAAAAACAGTAAAATCTGTATGTGACATACGGGGGAGAAGATCTGCGCATATTTTCTTGAGTTACAGAATCCCTCTCCAGAGATTTAACTATAACATTTTAACTAACATTTTAATTTCAACTATACGTAGTTGAAAGATGTGTAAAAGGTTTTTAAGAAAACAAACAAAATAAATAAAAATAAAATTTAAAAAGAGCGAGATTAGCAAGTTTGAAAACTAGACATTTTTGTTCTTAAGTTGTAAAAAACTTATTTGCAACGGTAAAACGAATGGCACGTATGATTTTTCTGCCTTGCTAACAAAATAGTACTTCACCTTCAGCTCTACTCCTACCACTACAAACAAAAGTAGAGTTTAACAAAACGTGCTTATAGTGAAGGCGTGCGCATAGTGAATGTCTTTTCTCCCTTCTTCCACGGAGAAGGGAAACTGCGCGAAGACGACACTGGGACAGAACGTTTTACCCATGCACTTTCAAGTGACGGGTACCTCCTTATGAAAAAGTGAAAAGTAGTATTAGTATGTGAAAAGAAAACTATGTACGCCTTTTTATACATATTGAGCGCAGGGAGGAGAGTGGCATTTCGCGTAGATAAAGTTTATAAGACGTAAAAGTGCACAAAGCAAACATTTATTTATAATATGTGTTTAAATATATTAAATTAAATATATAGCGGGTAGATGCAACCTGCAACACACTGCAACTCTATCGTACATCGTACATAAGGATGCGCTTTGGACTCTTAAAACCTTATTTTCATGTACGCTAGGGGGCACGAGTTTTATTTTTTAAACACAATATACAATATGCTATTTTTTAGGCGTTTTATTTCAAGGTTGGCCTTTAAGAAAAATATACACATAAAAAATGGATACTGGAGACAGTGAAATATTCACTTCTAAAAGACTTGTTGGCGATTGTTGGCGATTGAGTGATTTTTCATGAATTCACAATGACTCACTGAAAGTAAGTTTTTCATGCATCTTCAGTTCATGACGAAATTCACTATTGCAGAAGTTTCTGTTTTTCGAACTCTCAAAATTACACGCATCTTCGGTAGTTTCCTCGACATTCCAATACTGGCGGGTGGAAAATCGGAGCTAAGGATTGCATTTCCTCCTAAAATAAAGGCATTATATTCAATATAATTTTATAAAAATACATTTTAAATAAATTTGTAAACTCATTGAATAAATAAAGTTTTACATATACATTTTTTAGTATTTCGTAAAAAAAATAGGTAATTTTCCCGTTATTTTTAAGTAATTTTACCGGTCTTTTTCAGAGAATTTCAGGTCATTAGAATCCGAGCCATGATCATGAAAGTGTTTGGGGCAATGAAATGTTTGCTCTCCTGGCCTCAGCCTGGGGGTGTCAGTGTCGAGGCAGCCGCCCACCCCACCACAAAGGGGGCAAGAGAGGAAAATTCTCCCTTTTTTCATTGCCAAAAAAAAAATTGCCTTTAACAAATAACAATTACCTCACCCCCCTCAGCTTCTACAAACCTACCACTCACAAAAAACAAAAGTTAAGAGTTTAACCAAACCTGCTTATATTGAGGCGTGCGCAATAGTGACTGGGCTTTTCTCCGCTTACTTCATGAGAAGGGAAACTGGCGAACGACACAGGACAGAACCATTCTTACCCCCTGCACTCTCAAGTGACGGTACCTCCGTATTGAACAAGAGTGAAAAGTAGTATGTATCGTGAAAAGAAAACTTCTGTACACTTCTCAGTAATACTACGAGCGGCAGGAAGGCATTCGCGACGATGTAACACGCACAAAGCAAACAATTATTTATAAGCATGTGTTAAAATATATTAAATTCAATACTATAGCGGGTAGATGCAAGCCTGCAACACACTGCAGACTCTAATCTACATCTGTACATAGGA